GCTTGTGTTGCCCAGAAAAAGTTACCCGGACGTCCGTATCTCTTTGTTTTTATTGTCTCATATTGTCCTAATCTCAATTGTTCAAATTTTATTATTCTAATTATATTACTATTTTTATAACAATTTTATTACTATTAAACTTTTAAAATTTCAAAAACAAGTGATTGGCATTTTTCACAAAAACTGACATCTTTAAGATATTCCAGTTTGTCACTACATGTGCAAGTGGAGATGTGGAAGACAGCTCGTCTTACTCTGATGTTACACTGCATTAAATATAAAAATATGCCAGCAAGTTGTCAGAAACAGAGAATTAACATGAGTTTTCCTGTCCTTACCCCCCCTGCCGTCTTCAAAAAGAGCCCAGAACTGGAAACAAGCATCGAAATGAAAGGAGAAGGGAACTCACCACACACCCCACATCCTTTGTAGAAATCTGAAATTGTGTTGAAGCCGTAAGGTAGAGGAAGCTTAGTGCTGCTGGCAAGGTGCAAGGATTGAAGGAAAGTTCCTGGGTAACAGTTTTTTCCAGCAAGGAGTCAAGTGTCGAGCTTGTGAACCAAAGTTGCAGTTTGCAAACAAAGACTTTTTCTTCTGTGCAGAGAAGAGGAAGCTCAAGGCAGGACACAAGACATGTTTCTGCATCCTGCTCTGAGAACATACTTAGCAATGATAATTTTGTGTTGTGAAACTCTGCACTACTGTACATGAGATAGTTAAGGGCAGAAACAGAAAATTAAATACTTTTAATATATTTAAATCTATCTAATGTAATCACTGAAGTACATTTGATGTGTATAGATTCACCTTATGCTGCGGGAGAGAAAGATGCCTCGCCAGAAAGAATATAGCAATACTGGTTGGTGAGGAGCAAAAAAGAACATGATGTAGGATTTCTGACAGAAAACGCTTTCTGACCAGTGTAGCAAAAGCAGCTCTCTCTGAAAGACTTGTTATGGTACACATCAGCCTTCACTTAATGAAATAATTATCTATCTCTGAGCTACTGCTTTCAGGCCAACTTTATCTTGCTAGGAAGATGTGTGTATTAATATATGTATTTGCATACATTCTATGACTCATAGAACAGCTTGTGATTTTTCCTGAAGCAATAATTGAACCAAAAGGGTTTTCATCAGTTGCAGTTTTGCTGTCCAATGCAGTCATAGGGCAGATCCTGGGAAGGCCAGCTGTGCTGTGCATTTTGTTTCCACTCCTGTCACAGGCATGAGAGATGCTAGAACTGAGAACAGTAAAGCTGTACACACACATACAGACCCCTGACTAACATGTGTAGGAAATGCTCAATGCAGTTCCCCTTTGAAAACTCAAACTCTGCTTTTGACACAGATGACCTGCCGAGAACTCACGGGAAGAAGCCAATAAAAAATGTGCCTGAAGGGATGATTCTTTATCTCGTGTTGACATGAGTTTGCCTAGAGTGAAAAGGGCACCAAGCACAGCAGCTCTCAGCTTGCTTTAAAGGGTCTGCAACCCTTTAAAGGAGCAACTTCTCTGTAGAACTTACATGCAGTACTTAGTGTAGCAAAACAAACCTGCTCATGTTAGAATTATATTTGTTCCTGCTAAGTATGACCCTCTTTGAGGTAAATGGCTCTGTGAAAGCAGCATCCACCCACATGGCAAAATCTCTTTCACTACAAGTTGGAATGCCCTTTTTTAACATCAGTACTGTATTAACTACGTTGGTACACAAATCACTTCTCTGATGCATTTGGTCATTTTTATATTTAGAAGTATGTTAAAATTCTGACTGAGAACAAGCCATCTCATTTAGTCTCTAAAAATTAAAACTCTTTTAAAAATCTCATTTATTTTTCTAACCTAATTAATTGGGACCCTTCAAGACAAATAAAGGAAAAAGTATATTATTTTATGCACAACTTTATGCGTTAATTAATAAATCTGATTAATCAAATTAATAAATTTTAAATTACCATGAAATAATTTAAAATATTATTTCAGTTGAACTAGAAAGTGTCAACAAGCTGAGAAAAATTTGAGACTGATCTTTACAAAAAAACCCATAAAACTTTTAAATCTAATATTTACTTCACTTTTATATGTGTTTATTTCTCATATTTCTGTGGAAAGAGAGTCTTTACTGTCCTCTCAGACAATATTGCTTAGATTTTACTCAGTGGGATATATCACTGATAAAACATAAATCAGCAGCTGCTAAAGCAAGAAGGAAATGCTAAAGGCAGGTTAGTTATCCATCAATAGCAACAGTGAAATCAGATACTGCCTTTGCATGTAGTATTGGAGATCTGTGGTAAGGTAGAGAAAATACATCTCTGGAACATGGATGAGGTCATTGTGGCTTTTTCCAAAGAGCTACTAATTTAAAATCTCTGTCAGACAACAAGCCAGAAATCATTAATTTGGCCAGTCCACAGTCCATCACATAGGTGGTGTTTCTCTCAGCTAAAAAAATGCAGTAGTCCCACCTGAAAAGTAGATGCTGACAGAGAGGGAGGAGGATAGAAGCCCAAGTGCCCTAATTTGAGTCTTTATTGACATCATTAAGGTCATGGGAGAAGAAAGCATTCCTGCAACCCCTAATTTAAAAGCTGTTTTGTTTGTAGACTCATTTTTTCCCTTGTGTTGGTGAAGGCAAGTTTGTAATTAGCTATGTGTTTTATCACAAATGATTGGTAGAAGATTACCCCTACAATTTTGACTGAAATCAGACTTGATGCTGTTAATCTGATACTTGTGCAGTGAGGGCAGATATTAAGGCTACTGTGAATCAGACAGGCATAGAACACTGTCATTTCTGTGGATTGCTGAAAGCTCCCTATACTGCAAGTGGATCAAATACAGGAGAGGAAATTCAAATACAGCAAAATTGTCTTGACTTCATTGTCTGAAATACAGTCAGGTTTAGGCTGGTCATTTTCTGACCCCTTCATAGGCATTTTGGTTTTTGTTATTTAAAGAGGGGCTTTGAAGTCAGCTATGTACATTCTTCAAGAGTTTAATTTTATTAACAGGTCTTTGGTTAGATAGTCCATATCAGCACTTTGGGATCTCCATAGCTGACTGCCACTTCCTTTCTCCCTGGCCCAATTAGTTCAGATCTGCTGGAGTGCTGCAGGGATCCTGCTACCTTCATCTCTTCTGAGGAGCAGTGACTTAAATGTAACAAGGATGGAGGCTTGAGGGAACAAAGGGTATTTGATATTTCTCCATATTGTCATTAATTTCCTCTGACTGGGGTTGAAATGCAGAACAAAGGCTGTTGGATGTGAGGATGCAAGTGTGAAATGATATATTTTAAAAGTAGTAGCTGAGTATTTAAGAAGAAACTGAATGATATAATTTGCAAAGACACTTAACTGAATTGTTGTCCATTGATTACTTTTCTATTTCCATCATATTGTTTGTATGTATTTTTCAGCAGTTGGAGTATTTTTCCTTGGGCCTTAGAAATCCCCTTTGGGGCAAATCTTAGCCTCTCATCTCTGAGGTCATCTGAAGATTTCCTTAGGCTGCTATTTTTTGAATAATCAGTTGTCTCACTTAAGAAATTCTCTTTGTTCTACATCATTAAATGCTGAGTCCTGCAGCTGCTATGACAGATCGCTTTGCAGGAATCTACAAGGAGAGTTGTCTCTGATGTTAACAGCGAATCTTTGCTGTGGAACAAAAGAATACGCTGAAGCAAGCACGAGACAATTTGAATTTATAATATTTTAACACAGAAAAATAATAAAGGATGAAGCTGGTCAAAGCGTACCCGTTTTGAGATCTGTACTTCCAAAAAGTGAAGAAGGGCCTTTAAACACTTTTGAGTAATTTTGTGCCTAGGTATATTATTTGTTGCTCCCATCAAAGCAGTAGTGAGATAATAATTTGGCAAGGAGAAGGGGAAAATACAATGGGCTAGCCCAGAATTCACAACAAGAGCAGCTTGCTATAGGCCGGCTGTTGATGAAAGGAAAATGCTTCTTTCCAAAGCATGAGTGATAGCTTCTAGTGAAGCACAATAATCTAAATGACCTGAAGGTTTCTTCTTCCCCCTCAGCCTTTTTGTGATGAATTCCTTTCCTAGATATCTCCCTGACCACTGAAAGTCTCTGCTAACTCTTTGCTTTAGGTACTCAAGGGCATCATGTCTAACAGATGCCTTTGTGAAAGGTTTTCCTGCTATTCTCCAAAAACCAGAGGTATTCCCAGCAGTTCCCTCTTTCTCTTGGTCTGAATCCAAATTCCCTGTAGCCAGCATCTTGCCTTTTTGCCCATTTTCTGTCTGCTCTTGATATGCAGACACCTTCCCCTGTTTTCAAAACTTTCTGCTTTCTTTGCTCATGTTGACAGAGCATTGAAATGGGCAAATCTTGTGTCTATTTTTGTGTGTAAATAGGTTTGAAACTGCGACCCACCAGAATAAGTTTTTTTCTGCAATGCTTTTAAACAGCAACCATTACATACCAACGTGAATCCATTTGAAATGGACTCCAGTGCTGGGCTTCTCCCTAGACAATGTCATGCCATCAGGTTGGCATATGAGATCTTACAGTGTCTTTCATCTGAATTGCTGTCCATGCTCTTTTTGTCCTAATGGTTGTCTTCTGTCTTGCAACTTTGTGTGCATGTTTTATTTTAGTCTGTTTGTTCCTGTGTCATTTGTAGCAACATCTCTTGTTTGTTTTCACATTTGGGAGTTAGTTTTGTAGATGGTATGGTGAGGTGATGTTCATGGCGTGGCAGCATATGGTCACCTTAATGAGGGACTTGCCAGTGGAGACTCTGCATCATTGCTGATAGCGGAGAATGTTGTTGCTTCATTCTATTTAGCTTTAAATCAGTCCATGTTCTATCTGAAGTTCCTTGGTTTGAAGAAAATTTGGTTCTGCTAAGGAGGAAAAATGGAAATACCTTCATTCAATATGTATGTTTCCTCACCTGAAGCCCCTTGGCTGGATTTTCTACTGCACTGTCACAAACCCCATCAATCTCTTCAATTTCTTCAGAAGGAAGAGAGGATTTGCAGGTTAACCAGCTGGAAACCCAAATATGGATAAAACCAGACATACAGAAGACAGATGTGGACTTTTCAGAAATTCTTAATGCAATACAAGAAAGTAAGTTCTTCCTTGGATGCAAAATTGTGTTTATGGTACAAGATTCAATTGAGATGTATTGAAATGATAACTGAAAGCAGACACAAAGTGATGAACTGAATGATAAGTATCTATTATTAAAATCTCTCAGGAAGTTCAATGGATTATTGAATGCTAGTAAGAAATCTTTTTCTATCAGTGAATTCATAGTAAATTTTGAATTGCTTTGTGCCAAAGGATTCCAGCACTATATATTTTCTATGCAGACATAATCAGAAATATTAAGATTCCTGGTAGTTTATTCAATGCTTTGCACTCCTGAGTAGCTGTGTGAACCAATTATATTATTAAAATTCTGCAGTTGGGGTTTGAAGACTGGATTTGAAGTTCTTCCAAAGTTTTGGGCTGTATTCACATTTCTATAGCTGGTATTTTTTGGGAGAGTCATGAGGTTGTCACAACAAGAGAAAGTCCGCATGTCTTAGATGCTGCGCAAAATTATCTCTTTTTATTTGTAATGGGCTGTGGACTAAGAATTAGTTGGTTCACCCTCAAGTCCAACTGTGGAATGATCTCAGCACTTGTGATAGAAGTAGAGCTACTCTTGTTAATAACAGTGGAAGAAAACCCCCCTACCCAAAACTCCATCAATTCTGGAAACCAATAAAATCTGGAATTTCAGAGTGAATTTTTCATAATAGTTTGAAATTCTTATGTAGGCTAACAGTCAAAATGCAAGGGCTTCCTGGCTTCCTTATTTTCCAGTTTGATTTTAAACTGGGTGTTTGGTATAGCAATTTTCTACTGTGAGAAACAGCAGCTTACATTTTAGAGTGATAAAGGATGAATAAGAATGTGTAAAAACCCAGACTCTGCCTGATTTTTGCTACATGAATAAGGAACCACACAGTGGTAGAATCAGGCTGTTTAGTGGTGGTACTAGTTTGGGTGTGGAAGGAAAATGCACAGGTTAGTATAATGATGGGGGTAATAATTTGAAATTGAATCACCTTACTACTTAAGCTACAGGTTTAGAATGAATTCCATGTTTCCTGATTTAAAAAGCTTTTCCCATCAGAAATCTTAATGTGAGGTTTTGTCTTCTCCTTTCTCCACACCAGCACAGCCCAGATTTAGGCCTGTGGGCAGGGGCTGAAAAGGCACTGCAGAGTCTTTCAGAGTTGACTAGACAAGGTGGCTAAACATGGATAAGCAGTTTAATCTGGGAGTGTTTCAAGAATTAACATTTTGATTCATGAATTATTCACAAGCCATGAGAGAAGGATGCAGCTTTTACAGCCTTGAAGAGAGTGCTTTTCCTTTATCCAGACCAGACACAGGTGCTGTTGGGAGGTTAACCTCTATGTCCTTTAGCTACATCTCCTTCATCACAGACTCAAGGAATTCTGTACAACCCACTTTGCAGAGGCTTGTTGTGTGTCCAGGGGGGTGTTGTTACCTGCAGTCTGTTGCAACTATCATCTAATTAGAATAAACATGTCTAAATATTCCTTCTAGGGTAGTTGCTCTGAATAATCAGTGTTACTTTTATTTCCACTTTTTAGCATTGAATGATAATTTGAAACATACTAATGATGCTTTTAGAAACCAAATATTTTTTTCTTGCTAAGATAAGCTTAGAATATTGATCTTCAGCTAGCATAATCCAAAGTGAGAGAATACTTGTTGATTTGGTGGGACTTCTGCTAATAAAATGACAACAAACAGAAGCGTGATCTCTGAACATGTTTCCATCTTCTCACACAATAGCATGGTCAGGTCCCATTCCTTAATGAACGTTCTTATTTTTAGGCACTTCAGTTTCAGCATCCACCTTCAGAAAGTTAAAGGAGTTATCTTGTTTTTGAGTCCTAACTTATGTCAGCATCTTGATCTGAAGTGACTTGTGGACCCACTGAGATTATGTGTGGCCTCCTGCTCAGAATTTATCAGCATCCAGTTTGCAGAATATGTAGTTCTACTTTATCTGGGATAAAACTATTTGTATAGCCACTTTTTTCCCCCTTTTATTCTTCAAGAGATTTTGAACTATCAAGTAATTTTGATTTTTTTTCTGCAAAACAGAACATGAGGGGGAGAAAGGAGTTTGCATATTTAAGCTGATCTAAAACCAGAGGGAGAATTTTTAATATCTCTGGTAGCAATGCATGTGCTGCTCTGTATTCCTATTAAATTTCACTCCTTAAAAATACATGACTGTACAGTAGCACCAGTCTGTCTCCTAAATAATATTTATGTATACAATAAAGCCATTATATATAATTCTGTTAGGACATTTGTAGGTATATGCATGTCAGGGTCTGAAGGGGACAAGAAAGATGGAGCCCTGATCATCCTTTTAGCAACATTTGGCCATGAGGTGTTCAGTCCATTGAGCTACCTACAAGCAGCAGGAGACTTATGTTGGAAGTACCATCACCATTACTAATATAAAGCAAACAGGATTGTTACATAAATTGTCTATTTATTTTAGTGGAAGAGTATTTTATTAATTTATTTTTTAAAATATAATGAGACTTGGGGTAGAAAAATTATCTCAGCAAATGTTGGGGGCCCATATTTTCTGTAGTGACCAACCAACATGCCAATTATCTGTGTATCTCTGAAATAAACAATTTTCCACTGCAGACAATCTGGACAAGTCCTGGTAGCTAATTTCACTAACCAGATGAGAGTTGCTTCCACAACTTCTTCACTACTGAGATGGACTGTATTTTAAAGTTATCCTAAAATAAGATTTTTTTTTGGCTCCTCACAAGTCCTCAGGATAATCCAGTAATTCAGTGTTTCAAGGCTACTGACACATTTGTTATCTTACACACAAGTTCTGTATCTCAAAACATTCACTTAAAAGCTATGAATTTTGCAACCCAAAGCATTACCATCACTTCAAGAAGCAGCAATTCTAGTATCCCAGAGGCCTCATCTTTAATACCAAAGCAGTCTTAATGTCAGAACAAAGATAGTTTAAATTCCCTTGAGTACAGCAAACAGGCAAAACTTTCATTTTTACAGCTTTCATTGATGCTGTCTACAACAGATAAATGTGTCTTGAATAATCTTCAGAAAGCTTCACTATTTAATTATTTTTTGGGTTTTTCCACAGTTGTTTTCAGATTATACTGAGATTTTAACCATATACAGATTCATGTGTCACTGTCATGGAGGCACTGATTTGTTTCCATTCAAGTGAAGTTCAAGTAATTCAAAATATTTTCTGTTTCAGTTGTTCTTTCTGTTGAATATAGAGATTTATTCTTCTCATATGAACATGTGTGCAAAATCTGGTCATGATCTACATCCACATTATTTTCTGATGGGGTGGAATGTTTCTAGCTGTGACTTTTGAAAGGGAGGGACAATGAAGGACATGAAATTAGGCTGTGCTGTGCTTTGTTGTGGTAGTTCACCTCTCTTTTATAAGCATCTCTAGTATAATTTTTGTGGACTGAAATGAATGAAAATGGGGAAAAATCTATAATATTACTGCTGCATGTGCTACAAATTGGAATTTCTTTGTTGCCTTTTAAACCTCCTAAAGCCTCTGTGGTTTCCCCTAGGACAAGTTGGAGGCAGCCACAGTGACACTGAGGAGCTGCAGGCTCTCATCAGATATAACTAAACAACACCAGAAACTCAGAATCTCTCTTACAAACTATGCTGCTTAGGTTAGCACATTAGCCTAGTATTTAGAGTGGATTAATTCAGACATGAGGACCTCTCTGTTGTTTCTGAAACTTTTAGTAGTTTTCCAAACAAAACTCCTGTAGTTAAGAATACAATGTGTTTCATTAACCTTATCCCTATTTTATGCATGAAAATGAAGATGAAGGATTCTTCAATATTTTGATAGGGTTTTCTTTTTTTATTACCTACAGATGTAATAATGGACTTTAGATGCTCTAAAAGACATGTACAAAAAGGGAGGGAACTTTTCCCCATGCTCATTATGGACAGGGAAAGAGTAGTATATTTAAATTGCAACATATGTCTGTTTTAAGGATGAATATTATGGATAAGGCTCTCCTGCTTGTGAGCATGAAAAATAGGCCACCTGCAGAGACTGGGGAGTTGGTATTATCAGTGATTTTTTAAAAGGATTCTGAAACTGGGCTATGACCCCTGAAGAAGGGAAAGGTGAAAAGGAGGACACAAAATGCTCGTGATCACTGGGAGCAGTTAGTGGCTTAATTTCTGGCAGCTATCCAGTCTCTCCACAGTGGGGGAATGGATTTTTACACCTGCAGCCAGTAGCTAGAAATGGAACTAAGATGCTGCCAGCAATTAGAGTGTTTTGGCTGTTACTATAGATTCTCACCAACAGGAATTACAATTGCCTGTCACTAAATTAGGGGAGTTGAGGACAAGCAAAAGCAACAGGAGTTTATTGCACAAAAGAAGAGTGATTTCAAAAGTCAGTCAAACTTGCAAGAGATGTGAATAGGGATAGGGGGTTAGACGAATTTCTGTCAAGACTATTAGATCTTTTCTCCACTGTAGTCAGTGGAAGGGGTTCAGTAGCTAGGACCTTTGGGGGTCCCTTCTAACAGTTATAGCTCTACTTTCATAATTCTGGATTTTGCCTATGAGGCATGAGATTGGAGAGCTGAAGTCCATTCACAGCTGAAGTGTGATCCTCAGCTAAGGCATTTCTCTTCTCCTGGCACACATCTCTTCATCATGTTTTTCACCAGGCCTGTAGTGCATGGAGTGCTAAGTGAACCTGCTCCTCCCATCTGGCAGTCACTCCAGAGCTTAATATCTGTACTTTTTATTAGGGTTAGTTTACCACAGCTTAAATCTGTAGATGTAAGTGATTGCTTCATGCAAGACTGAGGGATGTGTGGTAGGTGGATCTGAAAGTGTCAGATTTATATGCATCAAAACATGCCAAACTGTGAAAAGAGAAGTAGCTGCCCAGGTTTGTTTACTCAGTACCTTTCAAGAAACAGTATTTATTTAAGGCTTTCTGCCTCTGGCTGCCCCACGGGTCTGTACAACTTCGAACTCCATACTTTGTATAGCAGGTTAAAATTCTGCCTCCTAGGAAATTTCCAGAGAAAATACTAATCCAGAAGGTAGTCCTTTAAGCCATTTGCCCCAACAGAATCTGAGAAGATAGCTAATGTCTGTTTTATTGTGAGAGCAGATTATTTATTTTTAATCAGAGAGGTGTTGTGGTGTCCTAAATCTTTACATGGCTCATTGAAGAAGAAAGCATTCCAACAGTGCTCATCAGATTTTAAAATTAATGTGGTATATACTTATACCAGACCTAAAAATTGAAATTATTGATGGGTTACAGTTGCTGTCTTCATTGATTCAGTGGTGATTTGAATGTATATTTTTACTTTTGTTTTTTAGTAGCTAAGGATGTCAACATTTTTTTTGATGAGTTAGAAGGTGTGAACAGCCCTTCCAAAGATGATGATTCCCTGCTTCACCATGGTAACTTGACCAGTACTTCTGATGATGCCAGCAGGCTGGAAGTTGTGGGAGAGGTAAGGACACATAGAATTATTAATACAATATTTATTCATGCCCATTATAAAGATGTATTAAATCTAATTTGATTTAAAATCTCATTCTCTACCATCAAATTTTGTCTAATGTTTCCCATGAGAACTGGTTTTCCATTCTAAGATAATAATGCTGAAATATAAAATATCTCAAATTCAAAAGTTTTGATTTCATACACCCTCAGTGAAACACCTGTATAAATCCAAGGCTTCAATGCTTATGAAAATGCTGGAAAAGTTTCCCCTATATTTATCCTTCAAGAGGAAAGGGTGTGGAGAGGATTTATCTATGACTCCCATGAGAAGCATTGGGTGTCAGTCATGAGACACATTCCCTTCCAATGAAGAACAATTATCACCTGATGGTGCATAATGATGATTCAGAGAACACACCAGGGAGGAAATATTCAGAACATAGTCTCTTTTAAAATCTGTCCTAAAGCAGGCAAAGTGTCATGAACCCATGATGAAAATTTGGGTCTCAATTTCTTCCTGTGTCTTTTGTGAAGAAAGGAACAATATATCCTTTAATTTTGCCTCCCACTGCCCTGACACCCATGGATGTTAGGGTTGTTTCCTCAGCAAGTGAGGAGACCAGGGACTTCTCTCCTTTCCTCCACCTCAGGAATGGAGCTCCATCTAGGCTACTTACTGCACTGGTCTGATGTTACCTGCCAGTTGTGCCTGAGGAATTTTTGGCTGAGGGCTGACTGGAACAGATCAGAACTAGCAGGGACCATGATAGTAATTAAAAAATAGTAGAAAACCACAGGACATTGCTGAGGGCCCTGCCCTGACCCTCTTTTGTTTACTAGTTTTGATAGAGTTTAGAAGAGGCAATTAGAGATTTTTTTTTTCAGGAGCTAGAGGGTTTTGTGGTGCAAATTCTTTTGTGTAACACTGCTGAGGAGAGAGATAGAGATTTTCTTTGTTCTAGAAATTCAGCCCATAGAGAACTGCACTCCTCGAATGTTTAGACAGATAATTAAAGCAACAAAATTCAGGGCACCCTGAATATGTTTGACCTTGCTCACAATTTCGTCTTCTTTAATCATAGCCCTTCCTTAGCTTCCCATACAATGTACAAAGGACTCTCTTTGCCCTCTTGCACCATAATAGGCTAATCTGACATGACAGTCCCGAGTTGCATTTTGGGACCATGTACCATACGGTCTTTAGCAAAAAGGAACAGGTGAAAGGCACACGACATTTGTATGTTAAAGAGGAAAAAATAACATAAAATGATCAGAAGGACATGCTGCTGTTAATGTAATAATATTAGAAGAACAATACCTCAAAACCTTTTTTTCTCTTAGATGTGTTCTTTTTTGTTTTTTTAAAGGAAAAGGGAAAACCTTTGAGGAATATAAAAAGATTTAAGGGGTCTTTTTGTAATCATGGCTGAGGAAAATAGCAATGTAGGTCACATATTCGTATTAGATGGTGGAAAAAGATTAAAATTGAAAGTCTTAATGGGACTTAAGGGATGCTGCAGCTTACCAAAAAGAACTTTAAAGTACTTGGTCCCTACTGAACTCTAGAAGGAAAAGATATACTATTCAGGTGTTGTTTGGTTTGTATAGATATGTGTGGTTAAGTCCTTTGGCCTAAAGCTATCCTAGCATATTCATGTATATAAGTCATGTCTGAATGCTGATGGTTCCCAGCTGAGCACACGAAAATACAAAAACTACTGTATTCTTTGGAAAACAAGTGCAAGTTATGCAACACATATAAGTACAGCCATAAAGATAGACAGAAATGCTGAGCTTCTTGTTAGAGTGAAGTCTTCACTGTTCTATTTTCTTCCAGCATCCCTTTTTAGATGAAAGAATGGAGGTTTGACATACATGACAACACCACTTTTTCACCAAAAAACAGCAGTCAGATCTAGTGCTATATATTTTTTCTTCATCAGTTTAGGAAAACTGAATTTTGATGTTGTAACACAGGTAAGGGAGGTGCGATATCTGGAGGAAGGTAGAACAAACTCTTGTCTGGCATAGCATATGCCTGTAATACTTGCGTGGTGCAGAAGTCCTGCAGCTAACACTGATGAACCAGCCCTTACTGTCTCTGTATTTTGTTAGATCCTCAAGAGTTCTTGCAAGTCCAGACTCAGTCTGTAAATTTACCTTGGAGTATAAAACAGAGAGCCAGAGAAAGGGTTCCTTCCCAGAGGCTGTAACAGTCTAATAGGGTTGATCAACCTGGCTTTGACATACAGTGCTCCTAAAATGAAAAGGATCTTCAAGTACGGATAAGGGTGTCCAAGCCGCCTTTCTGAGTGAAAAATTACAATAGTGTAGCTGGTAGTGTTTCACAAGTCCAAGAGAAGTAATTGTCCCTGGCAGTCATATTTGTAGTGGAAGAAGTCCAACAAGCCAAATGCCTTGGCTGAATCTCACAGGTACTCTTTGATATAAGGTTCTGCATTCACTGATGAGTCAGTGCAGGGCAAACCAATTTTCTTCAGAGAAAGAAGAAGCATAGGAAGGGGCAGATCAATTTTTTCCCATGAAGTCACTCCTGCATGCAGAGAAGGACACATTCCTTATGGTGCTCTCAGGACAGGTCTGAGTTCAGATGAGGAGTGTACATTTGAAGTGCATCTCTCAATTGCCCCTGCCCATGATTTTTTTGGTAGTCCAGAGTAGTGCTGGATTTTAAACCTGTATTCCTTATGGATGTAAATCCAGTGAGTCCTTTGGACCAGATTCTAGTGGGCCCAAATTGAGCCCTTAAGCCTACATAGCAGATCCTCAGCATGGGCTGTTTTGCTCTACAGCAAAAACCAGCTCCATTCCTATTACACTCAAAATACATGAAATACAAAATACATTGACTCTAACTACTGAACAAGAGGCTTGCCAGGAGGGTTAGTAATCACAACAGGACCACCAAGCTGACCCACAGCCTCTAAATCTCCTGCTACACCCTTCCTTTATTTAAAGAATCTTAAAATACCCTTTCGGCTGTTGAGGCTTTTTTTATGTCTTCTTGACAAAGATTTTCAATGGAAAAGGATAAAATGTGCCTCCTGAGCTGTTTTCACATTTAATGTTCTATGAAAAATACTTCTTATATCTTGATAATATCATTTATCAGCATGATATGCAGTATAGATATAAATAGTTTGCTACTGTTTTTTCCTCAGAGATTATATCTTTTTTCTTGCCTTCTTTTTGGGCTCTAAGAACTGTTCCTCTGTTTTAAGCCTGCCCTAACTTGTGTCAGGAGTTAGACACTGTAATGAAAGAATGCTAGAAAAATCTCTTTCTTCCTTTAGGGAACTGGATGTACCAAGGGGATGGGACATTTGGGATACTTTCATTGGTTTTTCTATTTAATCAAAATGCTTGCTGAGAATCAGAAAGATAGCTTATACTAAACTCTTTGAATGGGAAAATTGTTTTGGGGGGGTTTCCTGTAAAAATAATTTTTCTTGTTACAGTGTTCACTTTGTAATTTAAATTCAGAAACAATTCTCTTATAGAGAAAGTATTTTGAAAATTCCCTTCTTCCCCCAGATGTGAAAGTCAAAATATTTTTTTTTCCAGAGTCTTGATTGTATATTATAGGGCAGGGCTATTTTTGACAGGAATAGCCGAGTGAGTTTTGGTGAAACAGAAGTAAATTAGCTTAACCTTCCCTTCAGCTCAGAGTTGGACAGATCTTGAAGTTCCTGAAGGTCCTTGCCCTTTTTACTGCTCAGAGGGAATGCTGTTTGTCCCCGTGTATCCTTCACAGTGAACATTTCCTGTATGAAAGGCTCCAACCAATGCAAACTGCCATGCAGTTTCAACTTGTCTGAAAGTGAAGGCTTAAACCTGGGCAGAACTTGTATAATGTAGAAGTAGTGTTAAATTGTGAGGAGGATCTGTAGAGAATTTCATCTCATGACTTACTGGAAAAAGACCATCAGTAAGGTCTTTTATATCTCAGGAGAATGACCTGTTTATCCTCTTATTAACAGTGAAATGAAGTGGAGTTTTTCTGTCAGACCAAACATTTGAACAGGCTTTTTTTTTTTTAAATAAAAGACACAATATTTATTGATTTTATGTGTTGCCACACCTAACACCAGTAATTCTTTCCAAATAAATGCAAATAAATCCATCCTCAGCTATTCCTTAAGCAAGGAATATTCAGTAGTTAGTTAGATGAGGTATGGTGAGGTCAGTACAGAACCTTCATGTTGTTGTCTGCATCCTATGGGGCAGACAGGTAATGAAAATCTCTGTGCCAGGTCTTAGTGTTTCTCACTACAGTAAACTATAATCATAATGTTAATGTTCACTCTTTTCACATCTACAAAGACATTCAGCCATATGAAGTTCTTAATTTTAAATTCACACTTCAGTAACATTATTCTCTATTTTATTAGTAAGAAATCATTCCTAACCTTGTGGAGAGTGGTGAGGGAGGGAGGTTCGCTTGTGTTTTCTACTCTCTCCTATCCCATCCCCATATGTCCAAGCATTTTCCTAAGACCTTCTGATGCCCCCTGAGGTCCCCTTCAGTAGGGAAGCCTGTGCTCCTCCCAGATGAAGTCAGAAGCACTGCATGTGAATGGCCTAAAACCTGAACAGCTTGTTGAGTATTACTGAAAACCAATGATGCAAACAGCAATGCAGCAATTATCATGAAAAATTAACATTACTGAATTGCTTGATTTTCTCTTTACAGGAAGTACCTGATAAGAATAAAACCAATGGACTATATTTTAGAGATGGGAAATGTCGGATTGACTACATCCTTGTGTATAGAAAATCTAATCCACAGACAGAGAAGAGGGAAGTATTTGAGAGAAATATCAGAGCAGAAGGACTTCAAATGGAAAAAGAAGTAAGAGATATTCCTTAAAAAACTTTCATGTTGAAGCTATATAGAATCTGGGGATATGATTTGTTTACCCTGAAACTCTTCACTCTGCTGTAGCAGTAGAAAAATGCTTTTAAGCATGCCTAAATATAGGCCAGAGCAGTACAAAAATGTAGCCTAAAGCAAAATCAGACACAGGGATTGAAGGCCAAAACAGGCCATTACAGTCATCTTTTTCAACCTTATGCACAAGTAGGCCACAGAATTTCATCAGTTGTGCTGTGCAATACAAAAAACAAGTACTGGGCTTGAATGGCCTGAATTCTCTCTGAGTGCAATCCATATTTCTGCACCTATCTTTTCTTCTAGCTACGTGCTCCACTATTTGCTGAGGCTCCTGGTACTCTTTCTAGAAACCTAACTAGATCCTTGCCTTCCTTTATCTGTCAGCTTAGGCAAAGCAATGTGAGAAGTATTTTAGTAGTTTGAAAACAGCTTAAAGTTTCTCCTTCTGTCTTAACTCTAAGCATTGAAATAATTGGGCAGTATATATGAATCATTTATATCTACATTATTTCCAACATAATGTCCTAAATCAGTAGTTCTTTTATGGACAAGAGTGTATAAATTAATGCAAAGTGTCTAAAATGCATTGATATGTTAGGTAGCAGGATCAAGGTTTAAAGAGACCACATCTCTTTTGTCAAGCCTATGATCTTCCTTAAACTTTGGTAAAACATTATTTCCAACATCATTTATATCAACATTATTTCCAACATAATCTAAATCAGTAGATCTTTTACGGACAAGAGTGTATAAATTAATGCAAAGTGTCTAAAATGCATTGATATGTTAGGTAGCAGGATCAAGGTTTAAAGAGACCACATCTCTTTTGTCAAGCCTATGATCTTCCTTAAACTTTGGTAATGTGCTTAAGCAGGGCTTAATCCTCACTTCCATCTCGAACAGGTATTGCTCAGTGTTTAGTTTTATTTGTGCCTGGTGGACTCACACTCATGCTAATATGCATGGTCATGCTGCCAGTGATGGAAACAGAAGAGGAATTTTCAGGATATAGGCTTTGATCAATTATGTAGGTGTTACACATTATCACCCTTTCTTTCACTGAATTCTTGGTACATGTGTAAAGATTCTGTCTGTGCACTTGAAATGCACACTTCTTTGGAGAACACTGGGGAGGGGGAAAGGGAAGCCTTTACTGAAAAATGAGAATTTTTCTTTTTTTTAAAATGTTTTTGATTGAACATGGGTACCGGTGTATGTAAGTGTATTAAGAGCATTTTACTGGTTACACCAAAAGTTACCCTAAGCTATTCCTTCAAATAAGCTGGAAGTCATCATCTTCAGTGCTGCAGTATTTGATAGATGTTTTTAATGGCAGAGATTGTTCATTGTTACATTTCGTGTAGACGTGCTACTGCCTGTAGAAGTTATGACCCAACATTCAAGAACATGGGAGTGTTGCTGCAGCTATTCACCTTCACATCCTAGAATTCTGCCCTGCTTCCACCAGGAGAGATGCTGACAAAGTCTCTAAAATTTGTAGAGAACAAATGGGGGTGGAATCCTCCCTATTAAAACATATGTCCAATGGTTTCAAATACATTTTTTCCTACTTTTTGGTTTTTGCAGACTTATAACTGTGCTAAGGTCAGCAGTGAAAGCTATGAAATCACTTTATATTTTAAGTATTATGAAACTTATTGCAACATTCTATGCTGAAAACTTTTTCAAATTGATGATTTAAGGGCTTGCTATAGAGGTTTTTTTTGGCTTTCAAGACCATTTATTTGGACTTTGCTGCCTAGGCTGCATGAATGATCTGCCAATTTGATTATTCATTTCAGTTTCTATTTTGCAAGTGACATGCAGTTTTATTTCTTACTAATCTCATTTGCCCTTGGTGTGACTTCTTGCCAGCATCAGTAATTGTACATTTTCTGAACAGAGAATTATCAAAATGAGGTTGTGCTACATGACTCAGGCTAATGTTTTTAAAATCAAAGGTAGCAATCTTTTTTAACATGTAACTCTGACCTAAAACTAAGCTCTAGCATGTTCATTTTATGATCACAATTGTTTCTAAATTAAATTATAATCCTGAAGGAAATAAGTACATTCTTAGTACACTCCCTCCCCCATCCCCAGAGATTAACAGTGCTGCATAACACTTAGCTTTAAACTTAGCTGAGCAATCACCTAGTGTCTAAATTATTTCTCTTTATTTTTACTTCTCCTATTTTTGAGACTACACATCATTTTGAGTGTTAATTCTGGAAAAATATAACTGCAGGATTTTTTTAAAGTTGTTCACATGCAATATACTGCTTCCACTGAAAAAAGTTTGCTCCCAGATGAAACGGGAAAGCTGCCTATTGCTTTGGCCACAGAACATACACAGAGGCAATAGGTAGCAACTGTTGGAGTGAAAGGTGTTTTATTACCTTCTGTGAATTTTGTGTGGTTGTTGGTTCATTCTCCTTTGGCTACCGGCTGTTCATATCTATCTTGGTGTTCGATTGTGTTAGCCCTGTCCTTTTAACATGAAACCATTGGCAGAGAGGAGAACTTACAGAGCTATCCACACTGCAATTTCAACATGCCTCACTGCAGGGAGGGAGAAGTTCACTGCAGTGGCTCCCTGACAAGTACAGCACGGTGAAATTCCCAGGAAGTGGTGAGTGCAGGGAGCAGTGTTCACTTTGCAGCATGAAATGAGAAAGTGAATCTGAAACGAATTCACAACAGCTGAAATAACTTCAGGCACAATGTCAAGATCATGTAACTGAGAAAGGTCTCAACAAATATATGTTTCTGACTCCAGGAAAAGGTGATAATGTTTTGCAGCTATTCCCCAACAAATTCACACTTACAGTCTTCAACTGTACCACACCACTCTGCCTTGGAAGCTCTGCCAGATTTGGTGCTCAGTACATACAGTAATAAAGAATGCGGGGATCCCAGACCAAAGAAAAAATAATTAAAACAATGAAAATTTTAACCAAAAAAAAAAAAATCATAGAGAAAAAATAGAACATATTTAAAGAGTGAAAAAATTAAAAATAGGGAAAATGGAATTAAATAATAAAGTATTTAAATTGAAAACAACACTCTAAGTGAATGCTAATTGAGCGGTGCAGCACAAGTCATTCTATGATACTTTCCCTTGCTTTTCTGTGTCTATTTATTCTGGATAGGATGAGTGTGTTGACCCTGTCACAGCCAGGCACTTCCAGACCACATTCAACACATATGATCACATGCAGAGATGTTCACACAAGGTAATCAAGTCTGTAGGCAATTCCTGGAAAAGAAACTGTATTTTCTTTTCAGCCATGTGAAACATTTCCTTTGTTGATTTATTCTCTTTTCCAAAGTCTCACAAGTGAGATAAGTGACTGTGATATCCTGGCTCTGGGATCCTCGATGACCCTGCTGCTCTCATTTTCCAATAGTTCTTGAAAAAGACTTTTATATGGGGAAAATGGAGAGGACAGTCTCCAAGTGCAGCGTGTACTTCTGGGAGATGAGGTACCAATCACACTGTAAGTTTGTAGGCACTGATACCATCTGTGAATATCACATGAGACTCATCCCTTCCAGAGCTGGTGGGCAAAAGGTTAACAGGGTGCTGCTGTCCACATTCTGATGGTGCATTTCAAATTTATCTTAATACAAGATAAACCTGAGACTTAGATCAACCCACTGACATGCAGAATAGAATTACTTGTGATCAGATTTATGTGAGGAGAAAATATAGATAGTGTCTGTCATTCCAAATTAAATGCTTATCCCTGTGGCCCAGCAATTTCTGGAAAACCTCTGTTTTCAAGAGAGAATGAAGAGTCAGAATTACTTTGAGCCCATGATACTTTTCACAAGAACAAGTATTTATAAATTTAACCTCTTAGCCAAAATCTGGAGAAGTACCCTTTTCCCAAATTATTCCTGCAGCATGAATTACTGTTTACCTGTCCTAAATAACCAGGTAGAACTCAGTTCCTGTCAAGAGTATTTACACAGTTCTGGAACACAAATAGAGTACCACAGAAATATTTCAGTAAGATACTTTAAACTATACTATCATAATAGGTCATGCAGGGAGGTAGCCAACATGCAGCAGCAAACTTATTACTCATTCACTTGCAAACTTTTTAAGCTGCACTGTAAAGTATTGCAAATGGGCAATAGAGGTGAGAAGTTTATGCTGGATGAACAAACACAGACCACACTTGCATGAGTAATTTGTACAAGAGAAAAAGAAGAAAGTCATCTTGCATTTGACTAAGAACAAGAGAAAAAGAAGAAAGTCATCTTGCATTTGACTAAGAACAATCTATCCAAAATGAATCTGATGTTGGGTTAGGATCTAATCATGTAGCCCTAGGAACAGACTAGACATTTAATTTGAACATGGCATGATTTTTTTTGGTTTTTCTGTTTGTTATGACTGTACTAAACTGTGTCATGCAGAGTATTTCTACTACTAAATGAACTTGATATATTATGCTTAATGATTGTGTTCAAAGTTTTTTATTTATAGATTATAAGTTGATTTCGTGCAGTTTACTTATAAAAGCAATTGACAGACAAGTGGAAAGTGAGTGATAGAAGTGTAGTAAATGGGAACTAACCACATGAGTAGTGAAAATAGTATTCAGGCCTTTTATTTTATTTATTTTGTATATTTATGGTAACAATTGTCTCAGTATAAAAGCAATTAACTATTTTAAACCAATAGTATTCCTTACTGCCCTGGAAAGCTGGACTCCTCACAGCTATTGCATGCAGAATGCCCTTCAGAAACTAGCATCAGATAAGGGCAGTAAGGAATACTCCTCACAGCTATTGCATGCAGAATGCCCTTCAGAAACTAGCATCAGATATTTTACAAATAACAGCCAATGCATTTGGACTTCTGCCAGCACATTGATCTTTGCATCTCCTTGATAAATGATGTCAGTGTAGTGCTAGTCCAGTTTTCAGAAGACTCCAAGTTGTGT